ACATTTCGTAACTCTCCGCTGCTCATTTTCCTCTCTCTCTCTCTCTCTCTCTCTCTCTCTCTCTCTCTCTCTCTCTCTCTCTATCTCTCTCTCTATTATCAGATCGATCTAACCGTAAAAAAAAATATTTTCACCACAAATTGCACTCCTTAAATTCTTTTACTGCCTTTCCTATCGTGTAGTTTTTTTCTGTCTCAATTCACGGGTGACCTTGACCTCTCTGCCACCCCTTCGCAGGCTCTAGAGTCCCTGAACAAGAAGGACATGACGGAGATCAAGTCGTACGGCCGACCTCCGGCCTTGGTTGAGAAGGTCATGGAGTCCGTCATGATCCTCCGAGGCAGCGAGCCCACCTGGGCTGAGTCCAAGAAGCAGCTGGGTATGTTTTGTTTTGTTTCGTTTTTTGTTTGTTTTTTAATTTTTTTTTTGTAATCTCAGATTGTTCTCTGTTTCACTGGAATCTTTTAAGTTTTTCCACTTTCAGTGGCCTTTCTTTTCTTTTTTTTCTCCTTTGTTGTTTTAGCTTGTCTGTCTTACTTTTTCCACTGTGGGTGGTTGGCGGGTGCTCTGGTGTGGTTTGCTTCTTCTTTCCTATCAAACATCTATCGTCCTTATCTCCCCTTCTTCTTTTTTCTGTTTGTTACTCTCTTGTAACACCTCTAATCTTCTGGCGCTCATATGACCTTATGCTGTTGTGAGCGCCGTAAAACCTCTACTAAAACTTACTTTTTCTATGCATTAAATGGCCGTTACTATGTATGTCTATGTGCATCTCTCTTTACTCAGAAATATGCAAATCCAGAGGGTGGGTGGTTAGCGGATGCTCTGATGTGGTTTGCTCCTCCTTAATTCTTTCCTATCAAACATTTATCGTCCTTTACGTCTGTTCCTTTTTTTGTGTTTATTACTCTCTCTTGTAACATCTTTAATCTTCGACACTTATATGACCCAGTTGTGCTGCAAGTGCTGTAAAACTCTTACTAAAACAAATTGAAGAAGGGCATGGTACCCAAATTCAAATAGACCTATTTGTGTGGAATAGTGTAAAACTTCAACAAAACTGAAAGTCCTTTGTTTGTCGGTATGTCTGCTTGTCTAACCTGTCAGCGTGTTCTTCACTCTGTCGAACAAACTGTTCGTCAGCTCACATGTCTGTGTTTCTTTGCTTACACCTGTCCCTCTTCTGCCTGACTTTATCGTTCAAAATATGTGGGTGGTTGGCAGGTGCTCTGGTGTGCTTTGCTCATTCTTTCCTATCCGGCCTCTATCATCTTTATCACTCCTCCTTCTTTTTTGTGTTTGTTGCTCTCTTGTAACACCTCTAATCTTCCGCACTTGTAAGACCTATTGTGTTGCAAGTGCCATAAAACTTTTACTAAAACAAAATAAGTGCACTCTATACTTTTTTGTCTCTTGCTTTTCCTCTCATGCCCATGAACCAATGCATGTAACCATGTTTTTAATCACTCATTCATCTGACCTAGCTCTTCTCCATTCACCCCCAAACCAAACTATTTTAACCCTCCCCTTTCTGTTCTATCCCCCTTCCCCTCACTTTCTTCCCCTGCCAAACCCCCCGCCCTTCCAGGAAAATTAGAACAAGAAATAACAGTAATTTTAAAAGAAATAAATTAACAAAGTACATCAAGACAAATTCCTCCTCCTCCGACCCTCCCCCCCAAGAAACAATAATTCAAAAACCGTGTTGATGGGGTCTTTGTGTATATTTTGGTTTGTTTTATAATGGTTTTTTGGGGGGAGGGTGGGGGGTAGTTGTCGTATGAAATAGATGAGATATGTAGTTTACGACTTCTGGGTCTATTTCAGTTTAAGAAAAAGAGGGAAGGGGAGGGGG